CGTCACTTTTGAAGTGTTTTCTTGTACTTTTAAGCCAATCAGATACCCTACGGGCTCGGAAAGTGCAACGAAACCATCAAATTTTAGCTAGAAACTGTATTTTTGTCGATTTTTATTGAATTTGAACTATATTTCAACGTTTTTTGATGGTTCTGAGCCACCAAACACACTTAAAGCATGCAGAATCGACTCAGAATAGGAAAAGGAGACGTTTAGGTCAATTTTATGCATTCTGGCGTTCGTAGATACAAGAAAACTGTTAAAATTCTTCAGAAACGTCACTTTTGAAGTGTTTTCTTGTACTTTTAAGCCAATCAGATACCCTACGGGCTCGGAAAGTGCAACGAAACCATCAAATTTTAGCTAGAAACTGTATTTTTGTCGATTTTTATTGAATTTGAACTATATTTCAACGTTTTTTGATGGTTCTGAGCCACCAAACACACTTAAAGCATGCAGAATCGACTCAGAATAGGAAAAGGAGACGTTTAGGTCAATTTTATGCATTCTGGCGTTCGTAGATACAAGAAAACTGTTAAAATTCTTCAGAAACGTCACTTTTGAAGTGTTTTCTTGTACTTTTAAGCCAATCAGATACCCTACGGGCTCGGAAAGTGCAACGAAACCATCAAATTTTAGCTAGAAACTGTATTTTTGTCGATTTTTATTGAATTTGAACTATATTTCAACGTTTTTTGATGGTTCTGAGCCACCAAACACACTTAAAGCATGCAGAATCGACTCAGAATAGGAAAAGGAGACGTTTAGGTCAATTTTATGCATTCTGGCGTTCGTAGATACAAGAAAACTGTTAAAATTCTTCAGAAACGTCACTTTTGAAGTGTTTTCTAGTACTTTTAAGCCAATCAGATACCCTACGGGCTCGGAAAGTGCAACGAAACCATAAAATTTTAGCTAGAAACTGTATTTTTGTCGATTTTTATTGAATTTGAACTATATTTCAACGTTTTTTGATGGTTCTGAGCCACCAAACACACTTAAAGCATGCAGAATCGACTCAGAATAGGAAAAGGAGACGTTTAGGTCAATTTTATGCATTCTGGCGTTCGTAGATACACGAAAACTGTTAAAATTCTTCAGAAACGTCACTTTTGAAGTGTTTTCTTGTACTTTTAAGCCAATCAGATATCCTACGGGCTCGGAAAGTGCAACGAAACCATCAAATTTTAGCTAGAAACTGTATTTTTGTCGATTTTTATTGAATTTGAACTATATTTCAACGTTTTTTGATGGTTCTGAGCCACCAAACACACTTAAAGCATGCAGAATCGACTCAGAATAGGAAAAGGAGACGTTTAGGTCAATTTTATGCATTCTGGCGTTCGTAGATACTTGAAAACTGTTAAAATTCTTTAGAAACGTCACTTCTGTGCTGAAAACGGAACAGGAACTTAAGTCGAACCCATATATGTTTTGGACTTTTGTTAAAAACCTTAACAAGGATAATTTTTTTCCTAATATTATGACATATGAGGACCAAGAACTGACTTCTCCACAAGACATCGTTAACAAGTTTGCCAGTTATTTTGCATCAAATTTCTCAGACTCGTCATATGGACTAAACACGCCCTCTTTAGACTCTTGCGGTAATAACAATTTAATGTATCTTTCATCTATTACAATAGAAGAAGTACTAGTTGCAATTAGAACTCTTAGCAACAAGTTTACATCAGGACCTGACGGTATTCCATCCTTTCTTGTTAAAGATTGTGGTTCTGTCCTTGCAGAACCTCTATGTATGGTTTTTAATTTAATCATTAATACTGGTTGTTTTCCGGAGCAGTGGAAGCTTTCTAAAGTTATTCCAATTTTGAAAAAAGGAGACAAGTCTAATATTTCTAACTATCGACCCATTTCTGTTATAAGCAATTTTTCAAAAATTCTTGAGACAATTATATTCACAAGGATAAGTAAATCGGTTGATAACCGACTCACCGATAACCAACATGGCTTTGTACATGGGCGATCAACATTAACTAATCTTGCTAGTGTTACACAGTCTATATGTATTATTATTATTATTATTATTATTAAGGTATATCTCCTAACAGGCTTAAGAGCCCAATTACTAGGAGACAATAGAAAAATATAGCAAAATATAAAGAAGCAGTTGTTTATCATGTTTCCATTACATATAGGCCATTATACCTGAAAACATTTCTTAATCTCCAATCTTTTACAGCAAAATATGTCAACTTGTTCTTCAATATCTTTATAGGACTCAAGCGTCTGGTATAACGGTGATGATTTCATGATATTTGTTCTGGGTATTGGTTGTTGAAATATAAAATGGAACCTTAAATTATGTGATAGAACCCGAATATTTATCATCGCCACTAATCTTTCGCATTTGATCATGTTGTTAATTACACCATGCAGTAAAAGTACATAAGCACATTGCCTTCTTAATCCCAGACTAATCATCTCAAAACGTTCACACAACACTTTATACGAAAAGCCTCTACACGGGTATACCCCATCCTGCCTAAAAGCCATATACTTTAAGAAACGTCTCTGAACCCGTTCTAAGCTGTTGCAGTGAATCTGGTATATGGGACTCCAAACGACAGAAGAATATTCAAGGCGGGGTCTGACGAGGGCATAGTACAATAATTTCACCACTGCAAGCTCTTGAATTTCCCGAGAATTACGAATAACAAATCCTAGGGATGTGTATGCTGATGTAGATATTTTCCTAACATGCTCTATAAAGTTCACTTCTGTGTCATATGTGACCCCGAGATCTTTTATAAATTGTGGACGCTTCAGAATTTCTCCATCTATTTTATACTCAAAATTAAAATTCTCTTTTCTCCTGGTGTAAGTCTTTATGAAACACTTATCTTTATTCAAAGGGAGTTGATTGTTTGTGGACCACAGAATTACACGATCTAAGTTTAATTGAAGCCTCTTACAGTCTTCAATATTCTTGATCTCAAAGAAAAGTTTCAAGTCGTCCGCATACAGCAGATATTCAACATCAAGTTGGTTGGTAATATCATCAATGTAGATATTAAAGAGTAATGGGCCCAGAACTGATCCCTGAGGGACCCCAGACGATTGAAGAAATGTGTCAGACGAATAACCCTTGTAATATACATATTGCGACCTGCCAGACAAATAAGAACCAAGAAGTTCAATCAATGAGTTTGAAAAACCAAAAGCTTCCAACTTGTTAAGTAACATTGCATGGTTGATCCGGTCAAAAGCCTTAGAAAAATCCGCATACGCACAGTCTACCTGACTACGTTTATCTAGGCAATCTGCTAAATACTGTGTCTTTATGAACAAATTAGTCACCGTTGATTTTCCTTTCACGAACCCGTGCTGCTGCGGCGTTAAACGACTAACAATATGTGGATATGTCTGAGAGTATAAAACGATTTCGAGAATCTTGGCAAAGTTGTTTATAAGAGTAATGGGTCTATAATTTCCTATTTCACTTCGCCGACCTGTTTTATGAATAGGAACAATGCGTGATAATTTCCAGCTATTTGGAAAGACAGACTCTTTTAATATTAGGTTACATATTACTGTTAAGGGTTTTGCGAAAATAGTTGCACAATCCTTAATCAGAAAAGACGGTATCATGTCTGGTCCTGCAGTCAATGATGGTTTCAAACGTTTAATAGCTCTATATACCGTTTCTTCATCAACTTGATTTATATGTAGTATGTCTGTGTAGGGTTTAATAAAGGGAGTAGTTGGCTGTAGTGAATTTGGTGCAAAAGATTTTCTAAAAAATTTTGAGAACGCATTGACTATACATTGAGGTCTAATGAATTCTTCACTCTCATATGTCATTATTGAAGGAATTTCTGACCGATTATTTTTCCCGTTTATATACGCCCAGAATTTTTTTGGATCATTTTTAACGTCTATAACTACTTTGCGTACATATGAAAGGTAGGAATTTTTCACTAAATTTTTGGCTTTATTTCTTAAAGTTTTGAAATTGTCATAAGTCTCCACATTTTTGTTTGTTTTAAATTTTTTCCAAGCCCTATATTTTTGATGCAAAACTTGAATGATTTCTGCATTATACCATTTTGGGTAATTTCCACGCGGCAGTTTTTTTAATGGAACCCAAGATCTAAAATTGTTAAATATGACTTCATACAGGGAATCTACTGCCTCATTGACATTACTAATAGAGTCTAAGAAAGAAAAGTCAATAGCACACAAACTTGCATAAAGTTGGTGAAAATTAGCTCTCCTAAAATTCAGCTCAATGTTATTGGCATTATGGTTAAACGGAGTAGTCTTTTTTTTATCTACTTCAAACACGATACTGATCGCAGGATGATAAGGATCTTCGCGTGTCAATAATTCAGGAGAGCGTGTAATCTCACACTTGATATTAGTAAACACCAAATCCAGTAAACGCATGTCAACATTTAGAACTGTATTTTTCTGAAACAAATTGAAAAAACTCGAGAAATCATTGCAGGTGCGCACAATATTAGAAAAGTTTGCATGAGAAGCTGGGCTGCTAAAAAACTCAGGTATGTTAAAATCACCCAAAATTATGACATCAGATTCGAAAAAAATGTTAATTGACATTAATGAATCAGAGAGTAATACGTAGTCCTCTAGAGATGTACCAGGAGAAATATATAACACTACAATGTAAATAGATTTGTACCCTATTCTCACCTTTACAATTAAGATGTCTATATGCTGCAAGTTGATAAAATTTTCACATAACAATTCTGGATTAATTTCTGTTATTTGTATTTTCTTGTGGGCTGCAATCAAGACACCACCACCTCTAGACTTGGAAGTGGCCAAATTGTCCCTGTCTCTTCTAAAAACATTAAAATAGTTTACATCAAAAAACTCACCGCTATTAGTACCATTGTGCAACCACGATTCAGTTAAAATAATCATATCAAATTCAGTCATTGTTAATGAATTAACAAAAATTTCTGCAGATTTGGTGTTCATGCCACGCACATTCTGATAGTATATACTTATATTTAAGACACATCTAAAAAATTATTTCCCAAAGGTGCAGGTGTACTGGCTAGAAAACTGTTTATTGAATTAGAATTTATCTGAGTATTAGTAATATTCTCAGGATTAGCAGGATGTTTAAAATTAGGAATCTTATTTATTTCTATTTGAATTGGTTCTGCAAAAACAACATTTCTAAGTTTCGCCAGTGCAAATTTATACGCAAAGCAGTTGGTGTAATCCCAGGCTGAATGATCTACTCCTATATCAAACCCATGTATATGTCTTAAGTCTCTACAGTTAATACACATTTTTTTTTCTGACGTACAGCTGTTTACCTGATGCGAACCCGCACATATTGGACAAATCATTTGTCTTGGGCATTTATTTTTCGTATGATTTAACCCACTACATTTAAAACAGCGAACCACATTTGTATCATCATACACTTTGCAAATATTTATTCCAACCAATAATCCGCCAGCATCCATTATTTTTTTGTATGTAATAATATCTAGTTGTAGAGTAGCTTGAAGAACTTTTTTATTTTTCCGCAACTCCCAAAAATTTAGCAAGCGTAGTTCGGTTGCGTCGGCTAGCAGATCACTGTTTTGAGATTTCAAGTAATTCATAAATGTCTCTTTATTCAAACACGATGGAATACCTACCACTCGAATCTTAGGATGCTCCGATCTAAGGACAAAAACATCATAATCACCTGAAAGTTTATCAGTAGCGAGTCTTTTTAATTTATTTGAATGCTCACGATCGTTGCACCCTACAATAACAGCTCCTCCTTTGGTTGTTTTAGCATTAGTAACACGAATATTTTCATTAACCAGATCAACATTCCGCAACAAATCTTCTTGCGTTTTCACTGCTTGTTGAGCAACCTTAGGCTTAATCATGACTTTAGATTTTGTAGACTCAGATAATTTTGTTGCATATGATTTTTTTACTTCAGAATTACACGGTATTTTATCAGATGAGTGGTTATTATTATTAGTGCTGTTTGATGTTAAACTAGCAACTGCTTTATTAGTTAATGTACGAACTAAATCAATATTTGATTGTTTGAGAACATCAATCTCCCTCCTAAGTTCTGCAATTTCTACTACCATATTACTGTTTGCACTAGAAATAATATTCTCAATCTCCTAGAACCTTAGATAAGTCCAGTCAAATGGACGTGCTTTATATTGATTTGGAAAAAGCTTTTGACAGATTAGATCATAATATACTTTTAAAGAAACTCTCTTTATTTGGGTTTAGTCAGTCCCTGGTTGATCTCTTCGCCTCCTATCTGTCAAATCGCTATCAGTACGTTCAATGTCGTTGCCACAATTCAAATTATTACCATCAAAAATCTGGCGTTCCTCAGGGTTCGGTTTTGGGGCCCCTGCTTTTTAATATATTTATTAATGATGTCCACACAGTGATTGATGTTGATTTTGCTCTCTATGCTGACGATCTAAAACTATACAGTCGAATACTAAATAATTATGACTGCCTTCACCTACAAAATAATATTACAAGTGTCTTTCAATGGTGTTCGGACAACAAGATGAAAATAAATCGAAGTAAATGTCGGATTATGAGCTTTTCTAAGAAGAAGACGCTACTTAATTTTAGTTATAGTGTTGGATCGCACGTTATCGAAAGACCAGAGTTTGTCGATGATCTTGGGGTTACTTTTGATAAATCATTGACATTTAATAAGCATATTGATAACATTATTGCTAAAGCCTACAAGACACTTGGTTTCGTATTGCGTACGTCAAAGCATTTTCTTAATTATGAGACAACCCTTTATTTATTTAAGACATTGGTGCGATCTAAATTAGAGTATGCTTCCATAATATGGAATCCAGTAACACAAACTGGTATGAGTGTGCTTGAGAACGTACAACGACGTTTTCTGAAGTGCCTTGTATACCGCCTAGACGGTGTCTATCCAATCCGTGGTTTTCCACAAGGGGATCTTCTGAACAGATTTCAACTCCACTCTTTAGAATCTCGAAGGAATATATTGGGGATTTTGTTTTTATGGTCACTAATTAACGGTACATCAGTTAGTCCTAACTTACTACAAGGAATTATGTTTAGAGCACATCTTATTAGATCCAGAAATTTAGAGCTATTTTATCCTGAAACTTCCCGCACAAATCTCCTGGCAAATTCTCCGCTAAATTGGATACAGCGTTTATATAACAAATTACTCAAAGACATCCCAGAAATAGATATTCATTTCGATTCGAAATATAAGTTAAGAAAGAAATTGTGGGAATACTACAAAGAGACTAATTAATAGGTGAGCTGAAATCGTAAAATATGTTTTGTTATATATTATATTATTCAGTTTAGCGCTAGTAATACCTAACCGGATTTAGAGTTTGGTAATTAACATATATTATTTTTTGGTTGTTTTCATGTCTTCTCTGTTTCTCGTTAAGATAAAGTATTCAATATATCATATCTTTATATTTTATTTTTTTCTTAGTTTTGTAAGGGCTCCGTAATTGGGTTCGATCCTGTTGGTGACCCTCTTTAATTAATAATAATAATAATAATAATAATAATAATAAACGTCTCCTTTTCCTATTCTGAGTCGATTCTGCATGCTTTAAGTGTGTTTGGTGGCTGAGAACCATCAAAAAACGTTGAAATATAGTTCAAATTCAATAAAAATCGACAAAAATACAGTTTCTAGCTAAAATTTGATGGTTTCGTTGCACTTTCCGAGCCCGTAGTGTATCTGATTGGCTTAAAAGTACAAGAAAACACTTCAAAAGTGACGTTTCTGAAGAATTTTAACAGTTTTCTTGTATCTACGAACGCCAGAATGCATAAAATTGACCTAAACGTCTCCTTTTCCTATTCTGAGTCGATTCTGCATGCTTTAAGTGTGTTTGGTGGCTCAGAACCATCAAAAAACGTTGAAATATAGTTCAAATTCAATAAAAATCGACAAAAATACAGTTTCTAGCTAAAATTTGATGGTTTCGTTGCACTTTCCGAGCCCGTAGGGTATCTGATTGGCTTAAAAGTACAAGAAAACACTTCAAAAGTGACGTTTCGGAAGAATTTTAACAGTTTTCTTGTATCTACGAACGCCAGAATGCATAAAATTGACCTAAACGTCTCCTTTTCCTATTCTGAGTCGATTCTGCATGCTTTAAGTGTGTTTGGTGGCTCAGAACCATCAAAAAACGTTGAAATATATTTCAAATTCAATAAAAATCGACAAAAATACAGTTTCTAGCTAAAATTTGATGGTTTCGTTGCACTTTCCGAGCCCGTAGGGTATCTGATTGGCTTAAAAGTACAAGAAAACACTTCAAAAGTGACGTTTCTGAAGAATTTTAACAGTTTTCTTGTATCTACGAACGCCAGAATGCATAAAATTGACCTAAACGTCTCCTTTTCCTATTCTGAGTCGATTCTGCATGCTTTAAGTGTGTTTGGTGGCTCAGAACCATCAAAAAACGTTGAAATATAGTTCAAATTCAATAAAAATCGACAAAAATACAGTTTCTAGCTAAAATTTGATGGTTTCGTTGCACTTTTCGAGCCCGTAGGTTATCTGATTGGCTTAAAAGTACAAGAAAACACTTCAAAAGTGACGTTTCTGAAGAATTTTAACAGTTTTCTTGTATCTACGAACGCCAGAATGCATAAAATTGACCTAAACGTCTCCTTTTCCTATTCTGGGTCGATTCTGCATGCTTTAAGTGTGTTTGGTGGCTCAGAACCATCAAAAAACGTTGAAATATAGTTCAAATTCAATAAAAATCGACAAAAATACAGTTTCTAGCTAAAATTTGATGGTTTCGTTGCACTTTCCGAGCCCGTAGGGTATCTGATTGGCTTAAAAGTACAAGAAAACACTTCAAAAGTGACGTTTCTGAAGAATTTTAACAGTTTTCTTGTATCTACGAACGCCAGAATGCATAAAATTGACCTAAACGTCTCCTTTTCCTATTCTGAGTCGATTCTGCATGCTTTAAGTGTGTTTGGTGGCTCAGAACCATCAAAAAACGTTGAAATATAGTTCAAATTCAATAAAAATCGACAAAAATACAGTTTCTAGCTAAAATTTGATGGTTTCGTTGCACTTTCCGAGCCCGTAGGGTATCTGATTGGCTTAAAAGTACAAGAAAACACTTCAAAAGTGACGTTTCTGAAGAATTTTAACAGTTTTCTTGTATCTACGAACGCCAGAATGCATAAAATTGACCTAAACGTCTCCTTTTCCTATTCTGAGTCGATTCTGCATGCTTTAAGTGTGTTTGGTGGCTCAGAACCATCAAAAAACGTTGAAATATAGTTCAAATTCAATAAAAATCGACAAAAATACAGTTTCTAGCTAAAATTTGATGGTTTCGTTGCACTTTCCGAGCCCGTAGGGTATCTGATTGGCTTAAAAGTACAAGAAAACACTTCAAAAGTGACGTTTCTGAAGAATTTTAACAGTTTTCTTGTATCTACGAACGCCAGAATGCATAAAATTGACCTAAACGTCTCCTTTTCCTATTCTGAGTCGATTCTGCATGCTTTAAGTGTGTTTGGTGGCTCAGAACCATCAAAAAACGTTGAAATATAGTTCAAATTCAATAAAAATCGACAAAAATACAGTTTCTAGCTAAAATTTGATGGTTTCGTTGCACTTTCCGAGCCCGTAGGGTATCTGATTGGCTTAAAAGTACAAGAAAACACTTCAAAAGTGACGTTTCTGAAGAATTTTAACAGTTTTCTTGTATCTACGAACGCCAGAATGCATAAAATTGACCTAAACGTCTCCTTTTCCTATTCTGAGTCGATTCTGCATGCTTTAAGTGTGTTTGGTGGCTCAGAACCATCAAAAAACGTTGAAATATAGTTCAAATTCAATAGAAATCGACAAAAATACAGATTCTAGCTAAAATTTGATGGTTTCGTTGCACTTTCCGAGCCCGTAGGGTATCTGATTGGCTTAAAAGTACAAGAAAACACTTCAAAAGTGACGTTTCTGAAGAATTTTAACAGTTTTCTTGTATCTACGAACGCCAGAATGCATAAAATTGACCTAAACGTCTCCTTTTCCTATTCTGAGTCGATTCTGCATGCTTTAAGTGTGTTTGGTGGCTCAGAACCATCAAAAAACGTTGAAATATAGTTCAAATTCAATAAAAATCGACAAAAATACAGTTTCTAGCTAAAATTTGATGGTTTCGTTGCACTTTCCGAGCCCGTAGGGTATCTGATTGGCTTAAAAGTACAAGAAAACACTTCAAAAGTGACGTTTCTGAAGAATTTTAACAGTTTTCTTGTATCTACGAACGCCAGAATGCATAAAATTGACCTAAACGTCTCCTTTTCCTATTCTGAGTCGATTCTGCATGCTTTAAGTGTGTTTGGTGGCTCAGAACCATCAAAAAACGTTGAAATATAGTTCAAATTCAATAAAAATCGACAAAAATACAGTTTCTAACTAAAATTTGATGGTTTCGTTGCACTTTCCGAGCCCGTAGGGTATCTGATTGGCTTAAAAGTACAAGAAAACACTTCAAAAGTGACGTTTCTGAAGAATTTTAACAGTTTTCTTGTATCTACGAACGCCAGAATGCATAAAATTGACCTAAACGTCTCCTTTTCCTATTCTGAGTCGATTCTGCATGCTTTAAGTGTGTTTGGTGGCTCAGAACCATCAAAAAACGTTGAAATATAGTTCAAATTCAATAAAAATCGACAAAAATACAGTTTCTAGCTAAAATTTGATGGTTTCGTTGCACTTTCCGAGCCCGTAGGCTATCTGATTGGCTTAAAAGTACAAGAAAACACTTCAAAAGTGACGTTTCTGAAGAATTTTAACAGTTTTCTTGTATCTACGAACGCCAGAATGCATAAAATTGACCTAAACGTCTCCTTTTATTATTCTGAGTCGATTCTGCATGCTTTAAGTATATTTGGTGGCTCAGAACCATCAAAAAACGTTGAAATATAGTTCAAATTCAATAAAAATCGACAAAAATACAGTTTCTAGCTAAAATTTGATGGTTTCGTTGCACTTTCCGAGCCCGTTGGGTATCTGATTGGCTTAAAAGTACAAGAAAACACTTCAAAAGTGACGTTTCTGAAGAATTTTAACA